GCAGGGACAGAGTTACAGAACATTTCTGACAGGGTCCAGAGCTTAACAGAACCTTCTTGTGAGAGGGCAGGGCTTGACAGAACATTCCTGAAAGGTCACACAGTTCAAACAGCCACACACCACTTTGATACACTGGGCAGGAGCCCAGCCACATAAACTTACATTTCCAAAACAAAACATTCTGTGGAGAAAAAAATGGAGGCAAGGCCACGGCCTGTCTTACTGTTTAGCACTGCTCTATCAGAAGTAGTGGTCCAGCCCTGGCAACTGGAGCTCTTCTCCCTCCACCTGAAACCTAGAGTGAGTCTTCCTCCCCTGCACTGCTTCCAAGCAAAATCAAGACCAGGTGGGGTGGAGGCAGGGGCCTCTCCAATTTTTGATCTCCCGTCCCATCATGTGATCCCTGGTCCACTCACTATATTAGTCACTTTCCTGTAGCTGGGAAAAAATACTGACACACCCAACTTAAAGGAAGAAAGATCTATTTTGGCTCACAGTTTCAGAAGGTTGAGTCCATGGATGGCTGGTTCTAGGGCATGGCAGCAGGGTGTGGTGAAAAAAGGCTGCTCACCTATGGCAGCCAAAAAGCAGAGAGAGAGAGAGAGAGAGGAGTAAGAGAGAAGACTGGATAAAAATATACTCTCTCAGGTTACACCCCCAGTAACCCACCTCTTTTGACAAGCTCCCCTCACAAGAGCACATTCAACTATGAATAATTCATGGATAAGTAGAGCACCCCCATGATCTAAACTTCCTTTAAAAGCCTGCCTCTAAACACATGGGACTTTTAGGGACATTTTAGACTGAACAATAGCACTCAGTGTTCACCAAGAAGATTTGTCAGAGTCAGCACCAAATTCTCAGAGTCACTTCTTCAGATTTTCAGCCTCCAAAATGGTAAACTAAATAAACCTCTTTTCTGTATGTTACCTAGCCTCAGATATTTTGTTATAGAAACAAGGGAAAGGAGACTAATATATTCTACAAGTGAAGAAGCTAAGGCACAGGGAAATTAACTTGCCCGAGATCACTCGCTGACTGGTAGAATGAGAATTTCAACCGGTTGTCTAGTTACAGAGCCTTATGCATGTATAATGTAGCCTCTCAATGTATCACATCCCCTTCCCCCGATTCATGTTTTATCATGAAGAATATGGGTAAAAGGGAACATGCAGATAGCTTTGTTAAGGGAAGAGTGCCCTGAAATGGAATCCTGGGCTGGAAGTGGACCAGTTTCACTTCCATGAGGAGAGAGAGCTTTTTAAGCTAGAAGTACACGGTCTGCACCATTCATCGTCCATGCACTCATTCATTTATCAATAGTTACTCTCAAGCCTCTTCCCTTCACAGGGAAGGAGCTGGGATTCAGCATTAGAGAACAACTGTTTTAATGAGCACTTCATTTAAGCCACCATTCTCCAAATGAGGTGTTATTATCACCATTTTGTTGGTAAGCTGAAACTTTGAAAAGTTAATTGCCAATAATTCTAAAATTTTCAAAAATTGAGGCTCAGCCTGCTTTCTGCTGTTGTCCCAACCCCAGGGGGATGTCCTGGGATTCATCCCTGGGGGAACATTCTGTAGTAGGGAGGCTCCTGCCATTCAGACCATGGTATTCTGAGGATCTTCAAATCACTTTGATTTCATACACTCAGTAGTGAACCATTAGCAAGAAGTGGAGCATACAAAAAAACCAAAATCTGTTATCTTTATTCTTTATTTGAACATCAAATAGGTTGAGAAAATTGGCTTAGAGGTGCTCAAGTGTCCCTCTGGATTCTTTACTTTTTCAAGGTGCAAAAGAGGTTTACAAGTGTGTTTCATTAAACAAAGCAAAGCTGTGACAGACTGGAATCACATCAATAATAGTAGCATCAGCAGAAGGGCATATGGATCCATCAAATACAATTTGGCATTTGAGCCTTTCCCCATAAAACAAGAGCTCTTTACTGAAGAATATGTAGTGCACAAAAAGCATTGTTTATAAGCTGTGAGAGAACATAAACTGGCATAATGTCACTTATTAATTCAAGTCTCTATGACCAATGACCTCTTTGTTAGTGCAAAGGGGTCTATGTCTTAGGCACCTGCTCATGGGACTATATGTTATTTCCAGGGTGCACAGCTCTGTACACACACACTAAAGATGGATTTGAAACATGGCAGCATTTACATATTTTAAAAGTTCAGGCACATTTGGATGCAAAAACAAAAAAAACAAAGAAGAATATAAATTTTTTAGTCTCTGAAAAAACAGTGCAAAGTTGAAGTATCATAATAGAGGCAGCAATTACTTAGAAAACACTTTTAAGTGACTTAAGAAGAGCTCACACTTTCAATGGAAAAATGAAGCTAGAAACAGTATAATCACACTAATGAAAAGATGGATATCAGGGACCACAGTTAAATCCATTTCCTCCAGGTGAGAGTGAGTAAATTTTCAGGGGGTTAATCTAAAAAGTGTGCAGTGTAATGTGGATCAACCTCCCAAGGCTTGCACCAAAGAGAATCATGGTTGCCTTATGAGCTACTGTATGTCTCTATTTGCCTTTCAAAGGACTAGTTTCTCCAAGAGGATCTGCCTGTGAATGTCAGATATTACTATGGTCCTAGTGATCATTCCTAATATCCACAGTCCATTTCAAAGTTGGAAAATATGAACAGGAAGGGATCTGTAGTTAGTTTTATGTAGGAGCAAGGGAGCTCTAAATCAATGACCATTTGAATGTATACCATTTCAAAGTAAGAACATTTTAATGTGATTAAAAGTAAATTATCAGTAAGTCACTTATTTTTTCAGTCCCCAAAAGGCATAGGATGTGGCATGGTCAAAGAGATTTTCAAGGCTACTAGGGAATCAAAGGTTACACTTCCTTGGGGGCTGAATTTTGCACCCTAGATCAATGGGGATTTTTCTCTTTAGATAACCTAGTCTTTCTCATTGCTGCATGATAGTATTACAAAATCATTGCAGCAAGCTAGGTGATGGCTAAAAGAAACACAGACCCCCAGCTATTCTTTGGACTTCAGTGTCTATGTCTCTTTCTTCTCCAGAACTCAAGCTGCCATGTTGGAAATGGCAGTCACTGGAGCTGGTTATTTTGGATACAGTGCAGAAATGGAATTCTGAAACCTGGTATATATCCCAGATGCCAGAATCTTTCAATATTCTTATTCCTAGTTTCCCATTCTTCAAATTCTCAAACCCACTTCTCCACCTTATCCCAAATCTCCAAGTGGATCATGTCTTTCAAGCTTTAAATTGCCTCAAAGTGGAGGAAAATCAGGGGGAAAATTCTCTTAGCATGTCCCCTATGCCCTACAGCAACATAGGCTAAAAAATATCAGCAGCTCACTATTGGCACTTCAAATAAGAATAACAAGAGATTTCCAAAATTGTTTGAAACTCTTGGGCTAACATTTCAACGATCTGATGTTCTCTGCCCATTTCAAAAGTAGTAGTATCTTAACATGAATACAAACACAGTAGATGAATAATGTAAAACCTTTCACTGTATTATTGTTTGGATTTAGCTGGTATTACATCATCAATAGTCCTAGAAGATTTTTTTTTGTTTTTTATTTTATTTTTAAAAGAAAAATCTCAGTACAAACATTAAAAAGAACCCACCGACCCATTAGCTACTGTCCAAAAATATTACTACTGGTATTTTGGTAAAAGCAAAATTAGCTGCCCTGAATAATTTTCCTTTTCAGGCATAATCTCTGCTACATAAGATTGTCTGTCATTCAATATCCAACAATAGGCATGTAGATTAGCGCTATTTTGTCTACTGTGGATACAAAAGTTGATATGAAATGTGATCTTCATTTAAATGAATAATCACCAGGCTTTAGGCATCAAAACTGCATACATGACAAGGTAGCTTGAAAAGTATACAAAAAAACTAAAATATTTTTCCTTGGTTTTTGCACGTTAACCCAGTCAAATTAAATCCAAAACAGAATTATTACATTCAATTGTCTGATAAACAAGCAATGCAATCTCAAAAAAATATATATTATACTATATAAGGTGCTTTAAAAACAAACAACAAAAGAATTATGTTCTTAAACATATTCTTAGCACAGATATATAAAACTTCTCCCAAATTTAGATGCACATATATGAAAAAACCTTTTAAAAAATTTTTGGCCCTCCTGGTTTCCCAGTCCTTTGGTAGTCACTTAACTGGGAAACCAGAAATTAAAGAAACTCACTTTTCCAAACAGAACATACTGAGAGAAGCCTCGCAGCTCACCTGGGTTGTTGGCTCGTATCTCACCTCTCAATGAGGCTTGAATTATAGAACTTGAAGTCAGGGAAGGAAACCAAAGTTTCTTTTTCATTAAGAAAAGGAAATGACTCAAAATTGCACTAGAGAAGCAAAGGCCAGGAAGGCAACCCTGTGGCTGGAGCAATACTTTCTTTTTTTAGTCTACTGGTCAAAGAATTCTTGTGGACCAATTCTGGTCTTCTTCTCCTGGTTTGTGCAGTTTTAGGGTATGAGTTGGGGGACGGTTTGGAGAAGTAAGGGTATTCTCTTCCCAAGATCATTAGCTGATTTTTGGATGAGCTCTGAATAACCAAGGGCATGTGTAGTCTGACCAGGCCCAAGCAGCCCGAGGGGGTGAATTTTCCAATCCCTGCCCTCCTCCTCTTCCCCTGCCTGGAATGTGCTGGGCTGAGAATGCAGTTGGCTAATGTTACTTCTTCCAAGCAGTGCCACATGAGCATGAAGAAGAGGGAAACCACTCAGTCAACTCCAGGCCAGCTCTGCTGTGCAGTGCAGGATCTGTGAGGTACAAACCACCTGCAGCCTGTGATCTGGTCACCCTATGACCCTGTTGCAGAGTTTTATCCAGTTTCTCCCTTACCTTCCCATTCTCTAGCAGCCACAGTCATCATGCACATTTACTATTTCGTCCCATGCCCTGGGGCTAAAGAAAAACAAGTCCAAAAGTATCACCAGTATGTCAGCTCATTTAAACTGCCCTTGATCATGGCTGAGTTCTGAATAATTCAGTGTTAAATCACACAGGAAGATCCAAGCAGAGTGCCCTCTGCTGGTAAGTGTGAAACCCCACCAGAACAGGTCCTAAATCTGCTTTTCCTGCAAGTTCTGGGGATAGGACGGGGCCTTTCTTTTATAAAAGGAAAAATAGAATTAGAACTTGTCCCTTATATGAGGACACTGATCTATGTGGGAGTGACTTAACTGAAATTGACTAGCTGTTTCCCATAGGTCCTTGGGAAGCAAGGATCACCTGGAACCCATGACCTATATATGTAGTGCTCTGGGAAGCCAGCAGTGGAAACTTGAGCAAGCTTGAAGGTTCAGTGCTTAAGCTGACATGGTCTTGACAATTAAGGATCTTCCTTCCCTGTGTGAATCTTGTATTCTTATAGGGCAAATGAATAGACAATTACCAAATATTGTGCTAAAGCCATGCGACAGAGCAACAAGGTCAAAATATCACTTTTTAACAAAGTGACACATTACAGAGGAATACAAGAAGATGCTCTAATGAACCCTTGAGTTAGCTTTCTCCAAGTCATCAATTAAAGGAGCCACTTTAAATTCTTTCCTGAGGCTTATTCTTGGAGCCATTACAAAGTGCTTAGCAGAGGTGAAAAGTCTGTTCTCCGGGTCTGGGTCTCAATGAGTAGCTTCCATGCAGTCATCTCATAGGCTGAGTTCAGTTGTGCAGAGCCACAGGAATCCTCATTCTTAATAATGTAGCAAAGGGAGGAAGAGAGCTGTTATAAAGATTTAGCCCTGGAATCCCTTTGGCTGTTCCCTACAGAAGATGTGTCACTAAGAACTGAGCAAGCAAAGGAACAGTAACTCTTATTAGAAAGCCACTGGCAGTGGATGCATGCTGGAGTGTGCAGGAGACAGAGTTCTGCTAAAGTGATGCATGACGGGTAAAAGGCTACAGGGATTCTCAGAACCTTGGGGAGGCCAGGAGCTCTCAGACTGTGTTGGGGAAACCCTCTGCTTCCTGGGGAACATAATACGTTTGCAAGGAATGTGCTGAAGAGGAGCCCATTGTGGCCAGCTGGCTCTGGCTAGGCTCCTCTGGAGACTGGCCCATGGGATTGGAGGGTGTGTTCAGGCGATGGGCCTCCAGCATCTCCAGCAGCAGGTCATACAGAGGCACTACGTTCTTGCACTTCATGTTGTACAGATGCTCCATGCCTTTGTTACTGTGGAGGACACAAAGAGGACCATGTTAGGAGGACCCAAATTCATAGGAAGGGGAAGTAAAAGAAACTCCAAGGATACTTGTAATGCCATCTTCCTTCCTATGCAAAGATCCATTTTTTAAGATGGTATCTGAAGAAGACTGAAGGGCTTCTGAGACCCTAGGCTGGGACTCACCTCCTTGTGGTTTTCAAGTCACCCCTCTACAAAAGCAGTCCTACTCTCAGGCACTCTCTTTTCAGCCAGCTCCAGGGACTTCTTACTTGGTGACTTCTTCCTACATTCTGAACCAAGGCCCTGTTCTCCTCTACTACCATGATATCTAAAAGGAGAACCTGACATATGTGGCCAGTAGGAGTGCAGTTTTTAAATATGTGAAGCAGTTCAAGAAACTCCCATGCTGAAGCCTCTCAGTAGATTCTCATGGAACTCAGAAGAAAATGGAAAGTCCTGGCCACATTCTCCAAGGCCCACCTGACCTGCCCTAGTCTCCCTTGGGGAGCTCATCCTGCCTTGCATCTCTCACTCTCCTTAGCCATGCTTCCTGCTCCATACAGGAACTGTGTCCTCCCAGAGGCAGGGGATCTGCACATGGCAGATCCCTCATTCTGGATGCATTGCTCCCAGGTCCTCAAGTGCCACCTCCTCTGAGAGGCTTCTGCTAGTGTGTGCCAATGGTCTCAGACCCCTGCAGTCTCAGCTGCTGTCCTCCACATCATTCCTTTTTCCCTAACACACTTATTGCTGGAATTCTCCTATGAATTTATGTGTGTTTGTTCTTCCCAACTCCAAGCGCACACACACACAAACCAGCACATACTGTGCAAGTTCCAGCAGGGACAAGGATTTGTTCATACTGTTCTCTACTGTAGCCAGAACAGTACCCAGAACTTGGTAAATGTCCTGCAAACAGGGGGTAAACAGGAGGAGGGAAATGTAGGCACATAGCATTTTTCCCATGCTCCTCCTCTACCCTCCTCCATCAGCCAGGGCTCTGCTCTGTCCCTAACACAACACAGGATGGAGATGGAAGGACAATAACCACTCTCTAGCTAGAAACTTCTTTAAAACAAACATGTGCCAAGAGTAGGCAGGCCCAGAAGAATGTCCTAGCAAATATCTGCATTGTTGGTAAGGCGAAAGCCAGCATAAGTTGGAGCCCTGCCATGAAATACAGCCCAGAGCCCTTCAGGCCAGCAGGCCAACCTAAATCACATGTTTAAGTGTTATTTTGTTTTTGTTTTGCTTTTTAATTTAAAATGCTGTTAAAGTTAAATGCCCCTTGGGTCTGGCAGTGTCTCCCTCGTGCAACCTAATGAATCACATTTACAGTCAGGTGAAATACGGTGTTAAATTCTCTTAGTAGGAACATATGGCTGGGGCCAAGTTTAATAAAACAGGTCTATGATTTAGATTGCCTGTAGTGAGGTACCAAAATATTATTGTGTGTATGTGTGTATTTGTGTGAGAGAAAGACAGAGACAGAGAGACAGAAAAATACACAGAGAAACACAGAGACAGAAAGGGGTAGGAGCAGGGAAAATGCCCCAAGATTTCTATAGAATTGCACCTTCTCTCTGGTTTTCTGCACAATTCCAAACTACTTGCTGCTAGGATCTCTATCATACATTGCCAGTAAAATCAGCGAGGGCTAAATATTTAGGGTAGATACTCTTGGTATTACTGGTAATTAATTGGGCTTGTTAATGTGGACAAGCAGTTAATGGCTCTGAAAAGTCAGCAATTCCTTCCAACAAAATAAAGGCATTCCTGGGTACACGTGATTTCTGCAGCTTTACTGAAATCCCTAGCTTGGAGTAAGAGCTAGCAAGTTTTTTTGAGGGAAAGATTACTCTCACAGCTAGGTAATTTGGCAGGGGCGATGTTATTCAGATCCATTCTCTGCTTCCCTCTCTAGGATATTCATCAAAAGAAAAAGACAGGAAAGGACTGGAAATGTTTACTCTGAAGCACCCACCTACTGTACCTGGCAGTGTGAGTCCCTTGCCTATTCACAGGTATTCTTGGGGAGTCATGAGGAGAGAGAACCCAACTAGTTTCTCCCTAACACCATCACATGGAAGCCTTTACTCATGAATTTCAAGTTCACAGGATAGGGAAAAACATGCCATGAGTCATTTAGTCACTGATTCATTCACTTCTTTATTATTCATTTATTCAATAATAATGTTGTGACCACATATTACTGTATATGTAAATTTTCATATATAGCACTCTGTGGGATACAAAAGGGAAAAGGTTATTTCTATGCTCACAAGAAGCTAAAAATTTTGCAAGACTGTCTCCAGGAAGGGTGATACCTGGGTCTTTCATGGCCCATCTTGCCATTTTAATCACAGAGCTCAAGGCCTGAAGACTACTTAAATTATCCCAACTTTTTTTTTTTTTTGGTACCAGGGATTGAACTCAGGTCCTTGTGCTTGCGCAGCAGGTGGTGAAACCACTGAGCTAAATCCCCGGTCCCTATCCCACCTTTTTAGATAGTTTGGTCCTTTCCTCATAGCTACTTAGGGAAGTGATCTCTTTTTAATTCCTAGGAACTTGGTGTAAGCCCAAGGTCATGTCATAACCCAAGGATATCTGCCCCTCTAGGGTCACCGCTCCAGAGTATTGTCATTATGATGGGCTTTCTGGAGTCTGCAATAAAGAATCCATTATTTTTTCATCTCTTTTCTGTAGGCTGAGCTATGCTTAGAAGCATGGTATCCACTAAGCCTGTGGTCAGTCAAGTTCATGATTATTTCGAATGCAGTTGAGGTCATTTCCACCTTTTGGCATAGAAGGAATCTGTTTCCTCTGCTGATGTCCTTCCTTGGCTTCTCTAGAAAATATTTTTTGAATACTTACTATGTGCCTAGCACTGTGCTAGGTTGAATTGGGTTAACAGAGTAATCAAGACAGATTGTGATGAATGCCTCACAGTTTATAGTCTAATGAGGTAGAAATTAATAAACATGGGCAATTATGATAGGGGAAAAATAGGGTATAAGTCCCAAGCAGGTCTTAACAGTCAATATATGCTTCTGAAAGGAGTGACATCTAAGTAGTGATAGGTTAGATTGATATTCAGAAATATTTGCTTCCCTGCCATGTGTCTGTGATCCTTGGCTTTGGGATTTACCATCTGACTCTCTTAGCTAATGGAACGTTAATAGACATGATATAACCAAAAGATTCAAATGAAGCTGCCCAAATGGCCTTGCTTACTTGTGCCACTGGCATTGTGAAGAGAACACATCCCAGCTAACCTGTGGATACAAGGAGGATGAGACAGGTAAAGCAGAGTAAGCTGGACAACCCAGAGGCCCTGCAGATGGGGGAGTGAGCCCCACTGAGATCCACAAAGCTGCCAGCCAACCTGCAGCCTGCAGTGGAGCCTCCAGACGACTCATACAGCACTTTGCTACAGGCTCAGATAATGAGGAGGTCTCAGTAAATTACATAGGGCTGGACCACAAGGAGAAATGTAAAGAAGATAAAGAGAGTTACATCTTTATCTAAAAGCCATGGGAAGCCCCTCAAAGGTTTTAAGCAGGGAGACCACATGATCTGACTTGATTTTAGATTGATCACTGTAGTTACATCATGGAAAATGGACTTGAAAAGACCACGATTAAAGGCAGGAAGATACGTTAGAAATCCAACAGGAAATGACAGTGACTTAGAATACATTAATGGCAATGGAGGTGACAAGAAGGTGTGGAATCAGTGTTACTCTTCAAGAGGCATCTGGCTAGAGAGTGTTTCAGTTAAGGCTTTTCAGGGTAAGTGGGGGAAAGTATGTCACAGGAACACTAAGGGACATGCCCAGTGCCTTCAGAGGAAGTACAAGTCACCCATTTCCCTTGATTGGCCTCTCCCAATGATGTAGGACCCTGTCCACTTCCTCTAGAAAGCCTTCTCTAACATTTTCCCGATGCCCCAGACAGAACCAGTGCCTCTTTCTTCTATCCTCCCACAGCATGTGAGCTTATGATGTTCTGAAACTGTTCCAAGGGTACTCTCCACAAGCAGTAGAAGATCTTTCCTGGCCCAGCTGTCACATGGGTTGGATGAGCCCTTTTTAGGTCTCTGCCGTGAGACCCCACAGTGCCTCACCTCATGTGCCGGATGTGGGAGAGGATGAGGAGGAGCTGAGCCAGGCGCCGATGCTGCTGTTGCAGAGTCAGGCCTGCTTTGGCCATCAGGTGGATCAAAGTGTCTGTGATCTTGTCCAGGACCCGGTGGATATGCTCCTTCTCTTCCAGAGACTTCAAGGTGCTGGACAGAAAGGTGTATACTCCTGAATGTGCAGAGAGAGAGAGAATAACTCAAAGAGGACAAGGTCTAAAGACTGGAAGTGTCCCTGGGGCATAGGTAGAGCCGGGGACTTTCCCTACACAGCAGTAAAGCAGTGAAGCATCCGGGACCCATTTGAAACCAAATGATTCAGTGAAATTCTCAATGAGTGCATGAGTGTGAGCCTCAGGAAGTCAGTGTGACCCCCTGTGTCTCAGCCAAGATTCTCAGAGGAGAAATGTTAGCGTTGGGGCTGTAGTGAGAATGATGGCCACTCCTCGGATTGGTCTGACCAAGACCAACCAACGTGAACTGACCATTTAACCCCGCGAATAACTCCAAGGAGAAACCATCGTTGTTTCTTTAGGGGAAGAGAGATCAATGAACTTGCCAAGCTAAGTCAAACTGTATGGAGTGGAGCTTATACTGCACCCAATCTGCCAACTCCACATCTGGTAATGACAAGGTAGACTCTCAGGAGACATGGGTGAGCCCCAAAATGGTGAGGAGTAACTGGATAAGTCACTGGGAGGTGAGTTTCTCAGGTAGGATTTAATTTGCTTCTATGTTTCTGATGAGGTTTGGGGCCTATGCATTTTTGAGCTTTATCTGAAAAAATTACGATATGGGTGCCTACAGAGGACCTTGGAAAAAGCTTCGTGTAATGCCTTACAGGTTTGTTCTCTATTTCCCTTCTGTACTCTGTGCCATACGTAGGTTTGGGACTGAATCCCAGCTCACCATGGCACTCTGTTCTGGACAGAACTAGTCCCAAGCCAAACAATCAGAGGCCTCTTCTGGGATTGTACATAGAGGTTGTGAGCCAGAAACTCTTTCCTTTCAGGTTGCTAGGCTGGGAGATGAGAATATTGGATAGGGCCCTGAATGGCACTCTTCCCAGCACATGTATCTCCTTCTGCAGAAAAAGGTGAGCAGTAGTAAGCAGAGCCCAAATAGATAGATAGATAGATAGATAGATAGATAGATAGATAGATAGATAGATAGATGGAGTGGGGCAGAGGGAGTCCAGATTCAGTCACAAGGTCCTAGTTCTTATATATTTTTCATTTTACTTCGGAGCTTTTATAGAATCCTTCCTAATGTATGAATCAACCAATTCTTTCTTGGATTAAAAGAATGTGAGTTGAGTTTCTGTTACTTGCAACAAAAAGAATCCTAACTTCCCAGGATGGGAAGAAGGTGAGTAGTAAGGAAGTGAAGACTGATGAGAACAAGAGGAGGAGGGCAGAATGGGGCAGAGCTGTCTTGGGACCACAGGGATAGACTCTATCGGGTAAAAATCTCCAGAAATAAGCTCCTCCCACCTAATCACAGCATCTTACAGGGATAGATGGCATGATGGTTTTCTCTAGATTATGAATATGCAGCAACATTTTTCAGTCTATTTCTATTCAGTGCACTGACCATTTATAACATATGTCTCTTCACTTCCTCTCCCTGTCGTCAAGATAAAGGCTTTCAAGTTTATTGATCCCCAGTTTACACCAGTAATGTGGTGACAAGTTACTGCCCATACAACAACCTGTAGGCTGGGAATGAAAAGAATGAATGTATATGGGGGAGGGGGTGGAGGAACTCATAGTAAACAGAATTGTATCTGCCCAGCATGGAAAATGGCTATGGTTTAAAACAAAACACAAAGAACAACAAGATCAGAATGGTTGGGGTCTCAGTCACATGCAGTGGAGTAGAACAGAATCATGTAGCTTTTGGTATATGGATGCACACTGATCCAAAACACACAGGGGGCAGAATAAGAAAGCAGCAGACAGGCAGTAGGCTAGGAAATCGCTGGATTGCTTCACTTCGTTTCTGTGTGGGCTGTTGGCAGAGAAAGCATGTATCCATCAGAAAGATGGGCAAATTTCCAGTGGCCATGGGTTGAGCTACAGGTAGCAGGGAGGAGTGCCGTGGTGGGCTGGGGTCAGGGGTGGCCTCGGCTGAGCTCCCTATTGGCTTTGCCTCTCGAGTTCCATGCTCTATGTCATCATCCATACTCTAGCCTCATCTCTGAGAGGTCGGGCCATGGGCTGGATATCCTGGGAACCTGCCCAGGCCACAAAGCTGAGTTAGTCCAAATTGAATGATGCAATTTCTCCCAATTTCCTTTTTTTTTTACCACCTAGGATTCTGGCCTCATTCCTCAATAGTCCCTTTCCTGTTCAAGAAAACTCTAGAATTGAGGATCAAACAGCTTGGGGGATTCCTGTCTAGGAAGGTGATCTTTGTTCATCCTTTTTCTCCCTCCTGTGTCCCCAGCAGTGCTGAAACTTCAATCATTCAAAGGCCAGCATTTCGTGAAGCTCTTTCCAATGGAGTTAAAGATGTGGCATTCAGTCTCCAGTGAGCCAAGCTTTCCCTAGGGCTGCCAATTCCCAAGTCCTCCTCCACATGCGTGTGTGTATGGATTCCATCATCTAGCAAGCGTTTATTGAGAACCTATTGTTTGCATCACTGTGCTACTAGATAGGGATTCCAAGCCTGATTTCCTTTCAAGTGTTAATATTTTGAGAGCAGATATTGCCTATGGAGAGAGAATGTTCTTAACACGGACTCTCAGGATGCAAGGCACTCTCAGAATGAGCCTGTTTTGCTAATCCTGTTTTGGCACCAGTACAGCTTATCATCTCATCCTTGTCAGCAGATGCTTCCTAGCTGTGCAAATATACTTAGAAATAAAAATATAGTTCTGTCAAAATGCCAATAATTGACAACAGCAGCCATTATCCTTTTGGACTCTTCTGGCAAAGCTTGGTCCATGTTTGCTGTCAGTTGCCTTTAAGGAGCTGTTGTAGAAACAGCAGCAATCCAATTCCCAGAATGCTTCAGGTGCTCTGGCAACTGCTATTAATGAGCAAGAGCAAACCAGGGCTGCTGGTAATTTCCAAATCCCAGGTGGTCTCTGCCACGCTGGACTGCTGCACCACAGTTCCCAGCAGCACAGGCCAGTACACAGACAGTGAGGCCTTCAGAAAGAGTCTTGCAACAAGGCAGCTTTTGCAACTCTGGAGGATGCTTCAAATCCCCAAGATGAGGGGAAAAAGAAGAGAAGCAATCTATATGTCATCACCCAGGCTCTTATGGTTGGCAGATCTGAGCTTCTACTCACTGAATCCTGAAGCCACCACTAGCAGATTTAGGAAGGGTCTGTGGGGAAACCTAGTGGCAGGGAAGAATGAGGGGGTAAAACCATATGGACTCCCCTGTGTGTAACAGGTCTTCACCCTTTGGCTCTGGCTAACCTGATTCTTCTCTCCTGCCAAGACATTCTCTTCCTGCTTCCCTTTCTGTCTCTACCCTGTAGGATTCCGTTCAGCTGTTTCCCAGATGACAGGGGAAGGTGGGCTTGGAGACTGCTGGGCACATGTGTCTGTGGCTGTGACCAGAAGAAGGAAGCACAGGCATCCCCCAGGGGCCCAGCTCGCCCTGCCTTTGAACTCCACTTGGATGGGGGAGCACATCTGACTGCTGTAGGGAAGTAAGGAATGCAGGCAGAGGCCCTGGCCCTCACTTCTTGAGGACAAGTTCTTCAAGCAAGGCCACATAGTTTATTATTATTTTTTGTTTGTTTCCAAAAGAAAGGATGTGACAGCAGACTCCAGGGAAGTTCCTCAGTTTATGGCCGCTTAATCACAAAAAGGGTGGCGGGGGTAGAGGGTGATTAAAAGGGAAGGTGCAGTGAAGAAGACTGACTCCACAGTTGTAAGCAGTCCCGGCCAGGATGCTATCACTCAGCTTGGGTGCGGAGGGGATCCAGTGCTCACAGAAGACCCTGTGATGAATCAGCACATCAGCATTTGGGGTTTCCTACTTCTACAACCAAATAGCACGTTTGTCTAGATTGCCTTTACGGCTGACAATTTGATCAGCCCACGACTGTCGTCACTCCTGGGGATGATACCATCCCTAGTTGGGTGTCTGGACAGCTCTGTGTTGCTGCTGTCCCTGGCCAGGGCTGTGCATGTCCTATCATGTGCGGGACAGTACCAAACCATGGAGTAGTCTGTCCTAGCCTCTTTATCTCCTGAAAGTCCTGTTGAATATTCTACAGCAAATAGAAATTTGTAGTGAAAACTTTTGAAAAGTGAGCTGGGGATGTAGCTCAGTAGGGGAGCACTTGCCTAGCATGAGCAAGGCCCTGGGTTTGAACCATAGCATCAAAATTAAAATGAAATATAGATAGATAAATAAAAGAAAAATGTTTAAGTTTCAAAAAGCTTTTGAAAGGCTATATTATGCAAACTGGTTTACAGAAAGGGCAGCTTAAACAGAATCCATTTTATCAAAATTATCAAAAACTTATTTACTTTATGCAACCTGTCGATTGAGGATATTGTATGTTTTCCAAGTATACATTCCACTGAAATAATTTCAGTGCAATTGTGTAGGTACTACAAAAAACACACAATAGTTGTAAATATGTATAGAAAAGATTCTTTTAAACAAAATTATTATAAAATAGTATACATAAATGAAACAATATGTTATTGCCTTCTATACATTTTAAGTAATTTTGTAACATGGTAAGAGATCTATTTTGTGAAAAGTACATATTTAAATTATCTAGGGGTACTTTTCTATCTTGCATTGACATTGTCTCCTGAATTTCCCCGCACACTTTTTGATAGACTCTTATGTGTATTACTATTTCTTTTTCCAATCTATTCCCTCTTGTCCATTGCTTATACAAGTGATACGGTCTCTAAGGCCTTTTGAAGTTTGAGATCTATTTGCCTTGATTGTAGTGAGATATTAAGGTCTGTTTCTTAATGTTCTAAGTATCCTATGCATCCTGTTCTGCTAAGATGAGAGAGTTGTCACTTTTTCATCCTATATTATAACAAAGGGAGCCCATTTGACAATACAGTTATAATAAAGCCCAGGTTGCTTGCAGAATGACTTCCTCAATTTTCTTTCACTCTGACAGACTTCTGTGACCCTAAGAGGTGGAAGGTTCCCCTCACCAAAAAGCAAGCAAGCCCT